AGATGCTGACATAAATCTGGAACGTTCTATCACAAGTGTTGGGCATGCCCCCACGCCAGGAAATATTGGCTTGAAATTACAGATTGGCTGGAAGGAATCACGGAATGTAAGATAGACTTGAAACCAGAACTATGTTTATTAGGTATACTAGATCCAAAGATGGACAAGAAATATCAATGTATAACATTACGCATACCAACTGCTGCTAGGATCGCCTTTGCACAAAATTGGAAACAAATACCTACCCACCCACCCCAGATGACATGGTAATTAGGAAGATAATCGAACGTGCTGAAATGGACGGGATGACTATGGAGTTAAAAGAAAGAGAAGAGTCGGACTATTATAAAATTTGGAGTAGATTGTACAAGTGGCTAGTAGAGAATAGAAGCCAAAACAAGAAACAAAAGTTTTGAAAACTATTTATTGTAATATGAAGAAAAATGTATGTATGTAAAATCTGATTATAGGTACTATACTATTCTATTACTATATAATCATTACATTAGTAATAGAATTGTTAAAATCTACAAGAAGGCAATAATCAAATAGTAAACTACAAAAGCAGAATATAAATGCTGATATGGGTAGCTGTAAAATCACATTACAGTATCATCTTGTTTGTGTTTTTATGTGTTTATGTCTTTGTATTTTTTCTTGGTTTTTTTTTCCTTTTTCTTTTTTTTATTTGTGGCTTTTTAAATTTGAAAATATTCAATAAAAACTATTTTTTAAAAATTAAAAAGCGGGGCTCAAAAGAGCACCTCTTTGCAAAATGGACATAATGCAGAATAGCATTATAGCAACCTTGTAAAGCTTGGCTGGAATCACATAAAAGCTGCCAAAAAGTCCCAGCAATTTCCGGAATTGAAAAACCCCATTTAGCCCCCGTGGCCGATGGACTGGGTTTTCTTAGCCTGGTTTTCTCTCCTGTAGCTAGGATCCTGTATCCATCTTGATGGGTTTCCTGGAAGGATTTTCGTATCACATAAATACATTTTTATTTTCACTAAAAGTAATGGACAGAGTAATGCCATCGTTATCCATTGGAGGCTAAGGCAGCCAGGACTGACCAAGAGGGAGGAGACGGGGGATTCTGGATGGGGGGGCAAGGGGGAGGCAAAGGACAGAAGGGACCCACTTGCTGGAGGGGGGCAGGCAATATTTCAGTCTGTAGATGTCCTTTCTGTCACTTATTTTGTGAATAAGCAACTCCTCCTCCCCAGAGTTTGAGGGCCACACTCAAAGTCCCAAAGGAGTCTGCTCACTCCCAAAGACTGGAGGGGTGGGGATGTACCCTGAGTTAGCTTCAGTCTAGGCCTTCTGTCCTCATCCCAGAAACACACCAGCCCCCAATGGGTCAAATCAGGAGAGAGGCACCTAATTTAATAATGGACTAAGACAGAGATGGAGAACCTTTTCGGCACCAAGTGTCCAAACCAGAACATGTGTGCATGCTCGTGGATGTGTGCACGCCCGAGCACTGGAAACCCGAAAACCAGCTGGCTGGTGCGCACATGCCTGTTTTTTGGCTGTTTTCAGACTGTTTTTCAGGTTTTTGCTCCGAAAACAGCCTGAAAACTGACCCCCAAACAGTCTAAAAATGTCCCCAAATTAGCCCTGAAAAGGCCCGAAAACGGCCTGTGTATTGGCTGTTTCTCGGGCCGTTTTCCGGTGCTCTGGCACCCACAAAGACCAACTACTTGGCGCACAGGTACACACCAGAAACCAGAAGAGCAGCTGGTGATGGCACGTGTGCCCAGAGAGAGAGCTCTGCGTGCCACCTCTGGTACACATGGCATAGTTTTGCCATCACAGGACTAAGACATAAAGGCCACAAAGATGTGTTGGGCACCTTCTCAGCAGAAAAGTGCCCCAAATACATGAAAAGCTGCAGCTGATTATCCCCCTCCCATCCCTCTGCAACCCCCTGTAGTCCAGAGGTCCAGCCTCCGTGCCCTCTTACCTGCCAGGGTATAGTCCATATCTAAACCAAAGCATTTGATCTTCTCCAGCGCCAAGCTCCGATTCACGAAGATCCTGGGAAGGAGACGGGACAGCTAGTGATGCGACGCCCAAGGACTGGCCTTGCTATAACCAGAGTCTCCCAACTCTTTCAAATGAACACCTCTATTGGCCTGAGAGTTGGCTTGGGAAAATCAAGCAAACGTAGAAAGAAGTCCAGCTGAACCTTTCAACTGAAATGGGCAACACAAATGTTCAGAAATGGTTTAATGCCAACCTTTCTCCTGTCAGACTGAGGTTTCATATATGGTATGTTTGCTCAAACTTAGATCTAGATCTCCTTTTTTTTTAAAGGAACAATTTAGTTCTACTGTATGTTCTGGAAATCTCTCTTCCTGGTGGGGGAGGGAGGAAGGGAGAGAGAGGGGGGGAGAGGGAGGGAGAGAGAATCTCTCAAGCTATTGTCCAAGGCACACAAAAACCAGAGAAGGAATCATGGATGGAAACTGACCAAGGAGAGATTCAACCTGGAAATAGAGACATTTTCTGACAGTGAGAACAATCAACCCATGGAGCAGAAGTTGCTTTCAGAAGTTGTGGGAGCTTCATCCCTGGAGGCTTTCAAGAAGAGACTGGACTGCCATCTCTCAGAAATGGTGTAGGGTCTCCTGCTTGGGCAGGGGTGGGACTAGATGACCTTCAAGGTCCCTTCCAACTCTGTTAATCTGTTAGAGATCTGTCAGGCAGCCCTCAACTGACCAGATCTAACCTTCATGTCTTCTGGCCACCAGCAGCCGTTCCAAAGGCAGAAGCAACCTGGAAGACAACACAAACCAACTCCAAGAGCGCCTCAGGGCTGCCCAAGCCATTTGCAGGAAGTTCTTTGGTGGCTTCCAGAGATTTGTGTGGAGGCTTTCAGAAGTGGTTGCCATGGTTTTTCTTGCACAACCCACAGCTGCTTTTCTCTCAAGTCTGGGGGGGGGGGGGAGGCTTCCTTCCAAGGGCCTGGATTCCAGTCTTTGTATTAGGGCTTCAGATTGCCAGCTAGAGAGCTCGGCCAACTGCACCGCCATGGCAGAAGACAGAAGCTGCCTCGAATGAACTGTCTCTGGCCAAGCCACCCATTAGGAATTGGCTGCGTGCCATGGCATAGCCTCGGCAACCCCTAATCTTGCTCCGGATGCCTCCGCAGCCAGTCATTCATCAGTACGGCCCTGCCAGAACATTTTCTGGAGCCATTCTCCAGCCTGCCAAGGGTCACTTTGGACTCCATCCGCTCACTGAGCCTGCTCTGTCTCCAGGGGTTGCAGCAGGAGGGCCCGCCTGGCTCCCTGAAGAGATTGCCTAACTGAGATGTTACAACTACTTGGAGGACCGTTACCGCCATTGGGACAGCAACAGCTTCCTCTGCTGGTGAATGCCTGACCTCTTCTAGCCAAGTCCATTCACCTGCCGAAGGGAATTGGGAGGTCCTTGACTTCAGCCTGTGCGTCAGAGTATTTCATCATGCTCTGCAATCCTTTGGAACAGGACGTGGCTTCATGCAATGCGTCAATAGTTGCAAGCTGCCCATCAGCCCTTCCTTTGCTCTCCCAGGTTGCTACTACCACCCCCAACCCTCCTCTATAGGGGAGAGAGCCTTCCCTCCATGGGTCAAGGTCTGATTTGCAGAGAAAACAATGTCACAAAGGGGGGTGTATGTGGAGCAGCAGGAGAGGAGAGCCAGAGTGGACTTTCAGAACGAAGAAACAAATCGTTGGTAGATACTGGCATCCAAGTTGTCAGTGCTCCTTCCAGAATCCATTTCCTCGTGGAACCTGTAATTGCGCTGAAATGTTTCCCCAGTTAAAGGTACGTTCGGACACAGTTGTAGGACATTCCATTGTCCCATTCCTCGCCACACTCTTCATTTTCTCATTTCCTTTTCCACATGGCCACTAAATGTGTTAACAGTTCAACAACAGAGAGAGTAACACCCTCCTGCCCTAGAAGCACACGGATGATGCCGTACCAAGAACCATTGGGTGGCCTCTCCCATAGGACCGATCCCCATGGCAACCCACAAGTAAGGGGCCTCCAGGACAATCTCTCTTCTCCCACCAACACCCAGTGGAACTGCCCAAGTATGGAATGAGCACTTCAAACTGATTCCTCCATTGTAAAGTCACACCTACGACTCCAACCCTCAAATGATCATTCAATACCCAAAGTCTGTGGAAATCCTCTGTCCTCCAAGTCCTGGTTGTCCCAAAGGTGCTTTTTTCAGGAGGCAACTGGACTTCCTTGGTTTTCCTTTTGAAAATGTTTTGCTTCTCATCCAGGAGTGAAACTTCTTTAAAAGGAAAACCAAGAAAATCCAGTTGCCTCCTGAAGAAAACATCTTTGGGACAATGATACCAAAAGTTCTCTAAGAAGACCAGGAAAGGGTCTTATTCCCCCACCCCCATGTCACAACATAGGCCCTCCAGGAGAGGGAACAATGCTATCTTATTTCCGTAGGATATGATCCAGCTAATTCGGTCCCATGAAGGAGTTCACCATCCTGTTTAAGGCTGCTAAGTGGCATTTGTCCAATACAATAGGCAGGGGTCTCCAAAGCTGGCTGAGGAATTCTGGGAGTTGAAGTCCACAAGTCTTAAAGTTCCCAAGATTGGAGACCCCTGCAATAAGGGAGAAGTAGGCATAATCCACCGCCCACCCCACCCACTATGGACATGGTACAGACCCAAACGTGGCCATGGAATCATGGTCAGCCACATTCACTATCAGCAGGGTTCGGCAACTTTAAACAGTCAAAGAGCTACCAAGGCCCTAACCAGAAGCCCCCCATTCAATTCTGGAGCTGACCGGAAGTCCGGTTCCCCCACCATAGAGTCTCCTCCTAGCACGGCGTCCTTTTTCCTCTACCTGTCCTAACCAAAAACCCTATCAAATCTGGAGTTGACTAGCGACAGGGAGCCGCAGCGGAGGAATGAAAGAGCCACATGCAGCTCCAGAATCGCAGGTTGCTGACCTCTGATTTTGAGACTTCTTCCAAAGCTGCTCCAGGTGTTGTTGCTGGGGCTTCATCTCCCTCAGTAAACCAAGGTGCCACCCCCAGTGAGAGGCATCTGGCTTACTACCTGGACAATACTCCTTATCAGAAATCCAGGGAAATAGCAATAGCAATTAGACATATACCGCTTCATAGGGCTTTCAGCCCTCTCTAAGCGGTTTACAGAGTCCGCATATTGCCCCCACAGTCTGGGTCCTCATTT